TGCCCAGTTATTTGTCAGGCAAGGTGGGGGGGGCAGGCTTAAAGTCTTGTATGAACCTGCCCACTGCATTCAGTGTTGAGCGTTGGTTCCACGGTCTGCCATCCATCAGGCACGAAGCCGAGTTTGACAGCAGGGGAGTATTTGTTTTGGCTGCCTTGCTAGCCTGCTGTTCCTGATGCGGGCCCTCCCCTCCACTGTGGGGCTGGAAGAGGGGCAGAACCTGATCTTCGGTTTTTAGTCAAGCTTCAGAGGCACTGAGAAGCAACAGGAGGACCAGTTACACTGGAGTTACCACCGTGTTTCTTCCTGTCAGAACTAGATAGGTTGTAATACATTCTGGGGGCAAGTAGAGATGAGATCCTGTCCTCCTCTCCTTTCATGGAGCAGGGCTACAATAACCACATGGAAAAATGCTTTGCTGCTTCAGGCTGACTACATTCGTGAACCTCTGTTCAGTAGCTATTCCAAATTAATTAGGGTGAAAGGATGTGTTCTTGTGCATGTAGCGGAAGAAAGGGGTCGATGTTGTAGATGATGAAGATTGGAGTTTGCATGAAGAAACGTTGAGAAAGGAAGCCGAATGAGACATTAAGGGCATAAATACCATTTAATGCAGTGCAAACTTACGCATTGTTGCTACTCCCAATGAATCAAAATGAGATTTCTTCCTCACTGAGTAGGCACATGTTTGCTTGCCTTGATGATTGAGTGGGGCATGTGTCTTCTTCAGGCATAGATTCTTTGAAGAGTTCGATTCCTAAAGCTCATCTAGGAATGACATGCTTGCAACATTTATATAGCATTGTGATTAGTATTTGAAAGCGTTCTCGAGTCTTCCTGACACACATCCTTTCATGCAGACCTACAAGGCCAATGTTGCAAATGGGGTAAATGAAGGTTATTCATTTATTTATTAGATTTATATCCCACCTTTTCTGTTTTTAAAGAACTCAAAGCAGCTTACATCATTCTCTTCCTCCTGCTCTCAATCTTATCCTCACAACAACAACCCTGTAAGGTGGGTTGGAGTGAGAGTTTGTTCCTGGCCCAAAGTCAGCCAGTTGGCTCCGTGGCTGAGTGGGGACTTGAACCCAGGTTGCCTGAGTCACAGTCCTGTGCTCTTAACCGCTGCGCCACTCTGGCTCTCTAAGAGAAAATAAACTTGTTTCAAGGTCACTGACTAAGTAAAACCCAGGATGTGAACCCAGTCTTTGTACCTCCACTGAGCTGTGCTGGACGGGCGAACGCTAATGCAGAAAATGATCTCCAGCCTTTCTTAGGAAAGATGATGCTCGTGTAAATGGAGCCGCTTTTTTATTTTAAATTGCCTAGATGGCAATATATGCAGAGAGAGAGAGAGAGAGAACTTCATGTAAATATAAATTGCTTATTTTGCATATTAAAATAATAGAATTAAACAAATGGCAAAAAAAAAAAAGTCAAAGCATCCTGTAGATTACGATTTATATTTATCACACTGAAACTCTGGAGGAGGATTAAGTGCAGTTCAATTTCCTTGAATGAAAGTATTTTTTGAAGCTGGAAAGATGTCCTGTTGGGCTATACACTGGAGTTACCACAGTGTTTCTTCCTGTCATAACTAGATAGGTTGTAATACGTTCTGGGGGTGAGTGGGAGGATATGCATCAGGCATATGGAAGCAATATTTTCCCATTTACTGTAATTTTCTACCATTGGTTTCAAGGGCAAGCCATCTGTTCGGATTATTGTCTGTGAGAACTAATGTTCATATTGGCAACAGAAGTGGGCCTGGACCTGGGAGAGTGGGTCGGACTCCCATCTCAGCCAGGGACTCCAGAGCGATCTTGCTCAGCTTCCCACCTTTGTTATGGGAGCAACAATTACCTACCTGACAGGGTTGTTGTGATCGTGAATGACTTAAAGCCGGCAAACCCCTTTGTGCTCACAAAGCACATTCAGCTCTGACATCAGAGGAAGGGGTGAAAAGTGCCATGTGGGGCAACAGTCATGCATATGAATCCCCCCTCCAGCTGTCCAGACACAAGTTTTCACTTCATTTTCAGTTGCAGGAACTGATAAATTAGTTCACCTTTGCTCCCTTCGCCTCAGTAAGCACAGGTGAGAGCTGTGCAATGCCTGGGGTGGGGCGGACGGAGCCCTTTTCCTGCTGGGCGCACCCAGGGACCCCTGCTGGGAATGGTCATCCGGAGGTTTGGGCTGCGGAGTCATCAGTATGCTGGAGACACCCAGCTCTACCTCTCGTTTACATCTGCTCCAGGTGAGGTGGTGGCTGTGCTGAACTGGTGCCTGGCTGAGGTAATGGGCTGGATGAGGGCCAATAAACTGAGCCTCAATCCAGATGAGACGGAAGTCCTGTTGGTGGGTGGTGCGGGTGTCCAGGTAGGTGATTTTGACCCAGTTCTGGATGGGGTAGCATTCCCTCTAAAGGACAGGGTCTGCAGCTTGGGAGTGCTCCTTGACCCAGAGCTGTCAGTGGAGTTCCAGGTGGCGGCGGTGGCAAGGAGTGCTTTCTACAACTTCAACTGATCCATCAGCTGTGGCCTTACCTGGGTGAGCACTCCCTAGCAACAGTGATACATGCTCTGGTAACTTCCTACTTGGATTACTGCAACGCGCTCTGCGTGGGTCCACCCTTGAAAACAGTCCGGATACTGCAACTGGTGCAGAATAGAGCGGCCAGGCTGCTGACGGGGACCGGCCATTACTCTCACATAATGCTGGTCCTCTACCAGCTCCAATGGCTTCCAGTTGAAGTCCAGGCCCAATTCAAGGTGCTGGTTTTGACCTATAAAGCCCTAAACGGCTTGAGACCAGGATACCTGGAGGAACATCTCCTTCCTTATACACCCCCATGCCGCTTAAGTTCTGCGGAAGAAGCCCTGCTCCGGGAACCCTCTCTAAGAGAGGTAAAAAGATCTTCAACTCGGAGTAGGGCCTTCTCTGCTGTGGCGCCCAGACTCTGGAATGCACTCCCCAAAGAGGTACGCCTGGCGCCAAGTTTATACTCTTTTCAGCGCCAGGCCAAAACCTTTTTATTTAAACAGTGTTTTAAAATTTAACAACTTTTAATCTTTTGTCACTCTGTTTGCTTTGTGATTTATTGTTTGTTCTGTTTTATGAGTTATTAGAAATTGCTGTTTTAACTGTTCTTTTAAATATTGTAAGCTGTCCTGAGATTCTGCATAATAGGACGGCATACAAAACCTTTGAATGAATGAATGAATGAATTGCTTTTCACGCCCACAATTTTTGATGGGTGCCCTAAGGCAGTGGGAGATGCTGCCTCCTGGAGACTCACACGGTTTGGAGCCTCACCTGTCCCAAGGAGCATAAATGGCTTCAGCTCCGAGCTTGGCGTTTACCTCTTGGACCCCCCTCCCCCTCCCCCAAAATAGCCCAGAGCTCCCTTCCTCCCTCTCCGACGGAGACCATTGTTGGGGTTGACAGCACAGGTAGTCTGGTGTGGAGTGAGGGAAAGCCTTCGCCATCTGTTGCGCTGCAGCATCTCTGGATGGTAGCCATGTTTCCACGGCCCAGAGAGCCGAGGAATGCCCCGAGCTGTACGGCTGTTCCTCAGGCCTGTGCAGGCATCTCCCTGTCCAGCTGCCCCTGGGGACCCATCGGGGCAGACTTCAGGCTCATCTGTTTCCTGCCACGTTCCCCTCACAATGGCAGGAACTAAACCTACACGGGGGATTCCACATATGCAAGATGCAGAGGATGGTCTGAACTCGCCAAATGCACCCACCGAGTTGAAGCTGAGCAGGCCTGGGGCTGCCCTGAGCTTGGAGGGGAAACGGCTGGGGGGCGCATGCAGCCCCCTTGAGTCCCACAGTGGGAGAAAGCTGGGATAATAAAGCAAATAAATGCACGCCAGGGCAGGGTCACAGACGCATTACTGCTTGTTCTGCTCTCCGGTTTCTCCCTGCCTCAAGAACTGGTGCCAGTCTCCTCTTTCTCTCCCAGCTCTTTTCCTGCTGTTCCCACTTGCTCTCTTTTCTTTCTCTCTGCTCTCCTTTCCCCTTGTCGGCCCTCTTTCTGCACTCTTTCCTCCCTCTCCCCGCTTCTCAGAGCAGTTAGTGGCATCTTGTCTGTTTTTTCTTGTTTGCCTCTTGCCCTTCCCCAGCGCACTGCAAGGCTGAGGGAGTCCAGGGCAAGAAATGTTCTGGGAGTCGATGCACACACACGTGGACTCTTCCCTCTGGTTTGTCCCCGCATCCCTTTTACCTCCCCCCATGCTCAATCTCTCCCTTTCACCAGACAGTGCCACATCTTGTTTTCATCCGTCCGTCCGTCCATCTTTTCCTAACTTTAGGAAGAGTCCAGGTGTGCTGCAGAGCAAATCTGCCGCCCAGCCCAGCCCCTTGATTCCCCCAGAGTGCCCCTGGTCCCCGGGAGATACCTAGAACTGACCCAGGCGTCTTCTGAAGCAATAGACACGCCAGCTGTGCCTGCGGCTTCGCTCCGTGGTGTGCCGCACCTCTCCGCCAAGGTTCTGAAAGGCTGCGGCAAGTGCATTGGCAGGTTCTTGGTGGTGCAGAACTGGTGGCAACTTGGCCCACATTCAGACACCCACAGAATGTCCTGGTTGGTGGCACACAGTAAGGTGAGCAAAGGAAGGGGGTGTGCAGGCTGCTGGCAGCCCCCAGTCAATGTTTGCAATAGGCTTGGAGGGGGTGGGGGAATAATGCCTGCACAGGGCCCCCCTTGCTCACTTGTATTCCAAAAAGCCACAGTGCCCAGGAAGATGCTGTGCAGACAGACCATTGTCTGCAGCCCATAATGCTACACTGTATGACTATGAACTGTCTTCTAGGTGTTATGCATAACCCAAACTAGCCTGCAAAGTACAAATGAAAGCATAAAATGTTATTGGTGCAACCTCTTGTTGCATCCACCACCACAGAGGGGGGAAAATCAAATATAATAAAAATGCAGCACAATAAGAGCACATCAACAGAGTGTTCAAGGAATCATTAGGTTCTCTCTCTTTACAGATCATAATCAAAAAGTGGTCCATTCCTTGTCCTCTACCGCTAAATATTGCTGCAGGATTCTCTCAGGTATGCAGATTATTTAACTCCTTCCTGGCTTTTTACGGTTTACATGCAATTCTTCGATTTCATCATCATTATGTTATTTTACAGTAATGTGATTAGTTGAGCGTAACTTTTAGTGCTTTGAAGTTGCACAAATGGCTTGGTTCAAGTTGCTCTGGGGGCCCATGTTTCTTTACAGTTAGGAGATCGTATGCCCAGGTTTATATGACCTGCATGCTACTTACTTGAGTCTTTTCAGCATTGATACGTGGAGATGCTGTGTACCAGAGGATCTGCAGGGGAAGACTTATTTCTGGAAGAAGGCTTTCATCTGGAATACCTAATCCCTGGATAAGGGGGAGAATAAAGATGAATGTACACCCATCTTGAGAACCATTTCTGCCATATTTGTGGTCGCAGTGGTAGCAGCAGTATAGAAATTTAATTTAATAAAACCAATAATAGAGTGCATGGGGGATTACATTTGGGCAGTTATGTTGCAAAGCTACCATGCAACGTAGATGGGTGTGGATGTGCTCTATAAGAGAACAGCGCTGAACATTAATTGGATTTTGAAGTGATGTTAAAATCTCAACATCAAAAAAGCCAACTGATGGAGCTCAACTCGTTGCATTGCTTGTTTGTTTCTCTTATGCAGGTCTCAAATTCCACTGGGAACTGTCAAGCAGCACTCTTTAATTGTTCCAAGGAGGTAATATCTCAGTATCCTCACCAGTATGCACAGAAATGTGTTTAAGCTTTTATTTACTTATTTAAACCTTTTGTGTCCTGCCTTTCACAGTGTCTCAGGACAGTGATAAATAAATAAGATACAGCCTCAAGAATAATATATAAAATCTGTCTTAAAACCAGTACTAACATTTAAAATAATGGGAAAATAAAAAGGTTTTGGCCTGGCGCCAAAGTGAAAAAAGCGTTGGCGCCAGGCACACTCTCTGGGAAGCCCATTCCATAGCTGGGGTGCCATCACAGAGAAAGCCCTTCTCCAGGTACCCACTCTTCTGAGCTCCTTCAAAGAAGGACCTCCACCCCAGATCTTAGAGGCACTCCTTCAGATATCCAGGTCCTAAGCCGTGTAGGGCTTTATAAGTCGTTACTAGCACCTTAAAATGGGCCCCAACCTCAATTGGAAGCCAGTGCAAATGTTACAGGACTGGCGTTGTATGTATACATCTGCCAGTCCCAGCTAGCAGCCTAGCTGCTCTGTTCTGAACCAACTGAAATATCCAGACTGTCTTCAAGGGGAGCCCCATGTTACGTAAAGCATGTTACAATAGGCCAATAGTCTTTTCGATATCCTAGAGCTGCTCAAAAAGCCTTTCTTGGGACATTTTGCTGTCTGCTTGTGCTAGTAATGATGACTGGAATGGGTATTTCAAACCCCAGAAGGACGCAGCAAAAACTGAGTCCTAATTTGAAATCTGTACAAACTAGTTCTTATTTTAATTGCTAGTATTTCAGCACAAATATTTGTTTCATATCTTCCCACAAAAAGAGCAAGCCTGCTACAAGAACCCTCATGATGGCCTTGAGGTGGCCCTGTGGTGTCCCTGGGATTCCATCTGGTCCCCTGTTGCTAGTTAACATATTCATGGAAATGCCATGAGAACATGTCTGTGGTTCGGGGGTTTGATGTCACCAATATTTATTGTTTGTTAGTAGTCCCCATGATGATTTATTACCTTTCTATTCCACCCAGCAGCCAAAGTTCTCATCAGTGGGCTGAATGCACCCTATACTGGGGGTCAGTTCACGTGTCATTCTGTCTAATCTGCAATTTATGAGATTGACCCATTTTCAAATTAAATTTTTAAAAGCCCTGCAAACACCCTGCTCAGAGCTTGTTAATTTGTCGTTCAAACCTGGATACTCAAGGTTTAATAAACCAAAATCTATGGGCTTAACAAGCCAAAATTATCTTCCAATTTGTTTTTTGGGTTAACACGGGATTGTTAGCCCATTAACAACCCACAAGGTCTGGGTTTGGGGATCCTGCCAAGAGTGAGGCAGTTGTAGGTTGTTTAGGCGTGAAATGACACATCGTGCGTATGCTTCGCACGTCTCCACAAGTTGCTGTCATGATGTGCAAACCAAGCCTGCCTTTCCTTTCCATCCATTTGTAAGGAAGCTGGTCTAGTTTTGACGTGGAATCTGATGTCGGTAATGAACTGGATCTGGGTGGACAAAGGGAAGATTAATCCACAGAAGACAGTTTCTGCTTGTTCGTTGAAAGGCAGGCCCCGGAATAGGGAACCTGTCTGTTTGGGATGGGCTGCCCTCCTCTTGACGACGGCTCAGGATTTGGGTGCATTCCTGGATTTGGCCCTGAATCTGAATGCCTGGGTTGGCAGGAGCCAGTTCCACGGAGTACAGGATTCCCTGGTTGCACCTGATTTGGTGCTCCCGTCCTGGTTCCAGGCACAATGCAAAGTGCACATTTTGCCTCTGCATCCGGTTTGTGACCAGGCTACACAAAGAACCACCTGCACACACCTGCCCAGGTGTGAAGCTCTTTGGAGAGAGCCCTCCGTCAGAACTGCTGCTGTCAGAGGAACATTTGGTGCGGGATGTGGGACAGGGCGTTCTTGGGGGCTGCGCTTAGGCTGTGGGACTCCCTGCTCACTCCCACTCTAATGCCCTTCCACCAGCAGACAGAGTCATTTCTGTCCAGGCAGGCCTTTTGCATGTTTGCTGGTCTATTAGGCCAAGTCCCGCCTACGTCCTTTTATTGTTGCATTTTAATGCATGTGATTTAATGAGGCTGTTATTTTAAATTTCACTTTTTATTGTCAGCCAGCTTGTCCGCCATTTCTTTGGTAGAAAACTGGGATATAATCAAAAACATAAAATCAACAGTAAAATACTACAAATACAATAAAAACGAGTTATGTCACTGCTTGAGTGATTGTCCAGGATTTTTTAAAAAAATAAATGCAAAATCTGTACAGCCTTGTTGTAAACACCACTTCTTTCTTCTCCTTCTTGTTCTTCTTCAGAGTGCTTATGCCATTCCAATTATGGCTTTCTCATTTCTCTGCCATACATCAGTATTGCCAATTTATTGTGAACTGCAAAGGTAAGATGCTCAGATTCCACCAGGTAGGGTATTGCAGTACTCAGGAAATCCGTGTCATCTTTTATTTAGTGCTAATGTAACTAGAAATGCTAAATGTCTTATGGAGCAGTTCCTCAGATACACTGAAGTACATTCTAGAGGCCTCTCCATCCAGCCCAGTAAGACCATTGACTGCCCCCAGATTCCATAGGACAGGTAGGAGGAGAGGAGAGGGAAGTGTCTTGAAGCAGCCATTCCCAATGGGTGGGGTTTTGGGTTTTGGTTTGGTTTGGCGTTTTTTGGCCTCTTGCCTTTGCTGATGGAAAAGTCGCAGTAGAAGGGAAGGTGCCATCTCAAGGTGTCCAGAGTGCCTTGTGGCGGCAGCTCCCGACTGCTCAGATATTTCCTGAGCGGTTGGGCAGGAGGCAGGAGAACGCCCAGCAATTCTTCCCCACCTTCATTCAATTCAAACAGCCATTTAAAAGTAGACAAACAGCAGAGAAAATTGGCTTTAGATACCTTCCTGCCTCTCAGCTGTTTCCCAAACAGATGAGCATTCCCAGCATGGTGCAGGGAGATCTCAAGGAAAGCAAGCTTTAAATGTTCCTCTGGAATCCTGGGACAACCTAAGGATTCTGAATTCCCAAGTCCATTCTGGGAAGAAAAGGTAGCTGTATCGGGAGGCTTCATAGAGCCAGCCAGACTGAAAACCATCTGTGGGCCTTTCTTCCTCCCTGAATGTTTCTAATACCATTTTAAGACCACCTAAGCCAGTCCCTGGCATTAATGGCCCATTATGTACTGAAGTACTTTCTTTGGGAAGTAGCATTCAGGCAGCTAATGAAAGAAACTGGCAAACTTCAAACATCTCTTGAAGTTGCATTTGACCGCTCAGACTTTTTCTGACTGGTAACCAGCCACGACACGGCTCTGTTTTATGGTTCTTGTGGTAATGTTTTAAATGCATTCATTATTTCATATTGTTTTAGCATTGGTTTTGATATAGTGTTATGAATATTTTATGTAAATTTACAGATTATCAAGCCATCTAGAAATAGCTTTTATATGCACAGCCCCCACACACAATATTCAGACATTCCAAATCCCTGTCCAAAATTATGACAAAGTCTCTATAAGAGGTCAGTGCAAATATAATTTACTTTTGTTTTGGGGAAGAATGTATATCCCACCATCAATAGCTGAAAACGTGCATAAATGCTGGCTTTTCTCCTGTTAGTGCCTTAAATAAAGTCACATTTTTCTTTTGTATCTTGTAGTCCATCCAAAAGCAGGATGCTGAAAGTAGCCAACACTGGAATTGGTCTGAGCTTTCTAGTTTATTTTGTGTCTGCACTATTTGGATACCTCACTTTTTATGGTATGTCTCTCAATGTGCTCATTCCCTTTTTCTTATAAAGTGGTAAGACATTAACTGAAAATCAACTTGGGCTTGGAAAAAAACCCATCTAGAAAGAGTAGTCAGTCAAATCTGCCTTAATTAAAACACTTTCCTGTGATGACTTTCTTTACAATCTGAGCTTGGTGATAATTCATGAATGGAATGACTGTGTTTGTCCTAAAGCCGGAATCACGCAACACATTTTCCGAGCAACAATCATAGCAATTTTTATAGCAAGCACATGAAAAAGATGCTATACTGCTGCACCTTTGTGTGCTTTTAGCATTTACAAGCAGCTGTAGTTTAATAGAAGAAAAACTTTCAGCAGTTATCATATTACCGTAGTCTCTCAATTGGTGTAGGCCTTAATGTCTGGTCAGATGTCAGGACTCCTTATACTTCGGTGGCTTTCTTCTTTTTAAAGGTCCATCAAAATACTGCAGAAAGTTGGTGAGTGATCCACTACAAATGTGGCATGATGTAATCTAGATAGACGTTCCTTGTTGGTCATGTGGATGGTCCCTTTACTTGTCTTGATATTCGCACATCTCCGAAAAGTACTGCTGTGTGTTCTTTTTAGGATAAGGTTCTTGGGCTTTCTCTGACTTCTCACCTGTCCCCACCCATGATAGCATAAATGGTGCAGGTGTCCAGAATCAGGCACGCATGCCAGAAGGAAGCTTTCTCTCAAAAGCACATTGAGAATTCTGGATTAATTTTACCCACTGGGAACTTGATTGTTTTATGTAGCCATGGTCTTTTAAGTGTATGATTATCTGTCTGGTGGCTTGAAATCTGGTTTTAAATCATGCAACCCTTAGTAGGAAATGTTTTTTGCCAATCTCTGTATCTGGTGTCTTTTTCTTTTTGGATTGGGGCTTGAAATCTGGTTTTAAATCACCCACACTTTCTTAGGAAATGTACTTTTCTTTGCCAGTCTTTCTGTCTCGTGTCTTTTTCTTCTGGACAGGGGTTTGTTTTGCTCTTAAGCAAGTTGATCTTTGGTGGGAAATACTTTGGTACGTGACTCTCAGTGGCCTGTGCGAAACCAGCTTCCAGGGCATGTGAATGATGCTGGTGGTGGACAAAATGTAACAGATGCAGTCCTCTTGTTCTTCATTAAACAAACAAGATATATAGTAAAAGCATCCTAGCAAAGATGGCAAGAATACGATGTGTGTTCTTTCAGTGTCTCAGGAAAGGGACTGATTTCTCATGCTCAGTCTTGAAGCTCATTTCTAGCACATTTCGAGGAAGGCAGCTGCTGCAGCCTATTTTGGCTTTTCTGGGCAAGTTAATATATAAAATTTGTCTTATTTATCAGTGTTCATACAGGAAGGGAAGACAGGGAAGAGGAGGGGAAAATCCCAATATTTGTAGTTGTAGCAAAATAGGAACAGTGCAGCCGTTGTTCATACATGGAAAATTTCATTAAACAGTTAATTTGGAAAAGATGAGCTTGCTTGGAGTCTGATGGCAAGCCCTCCCAAATTAATCCCTGAAATATTAGCTTCAAAGGATGCATTTCCCTACAACTCTCATCCCCAGTCAGAGGCCGTAAATTTGTGTTTACGTTTGTTTCCTACGATTTTGTTATGCTGCTTTTCATAATGCTTAAAACAGGGTAGTTTTCACAAAACTAAAACAATGAAACTTGCCCAAAGAGCTTTAAGTGGGCTTTCTCAAGAAAGCGCCTTACGGAAGTGTTGGACTACAACTCCCATCAGCCCCACCCAGACACAACTGCTTAGTTAAAACACCTGATCAAGGAGGAGTGTTTATTTTGTTTTATAAAAGGCATTCCTGAAAAGGAAGGATTTTAGGCTTCCCATGCAAAATTAAAAAGTATTACAAAGAAAAATGTTCTTATCACATTACACCTTGTTTGCAAAGATGAGACTTTTAGAAAGCATGAGTTTGTACTTCTTGACAGTCAGGGTTCAGGACCTCTCTTTTGCCCTCCACTGGAGGGGCTGCCAGTGGCTGCCAAATATTTTGTTCATTAATTTGCACACATAATGCAGAAATATTTTAATCTTTTATTATACTTCTGAGCAATGGAGAAGGATCCGTGGTTTGGGAGTATGGAAATCAGGAAAAGATGGTCTTGCTTGGAGACTGGGCTAGGCAATCTCCAGGGGACTGAGTACCTGCTCAAGGTGCAAGCGCAGGTACCAGAGGAGCTTCTTTCCTTTGCTTTCTCTTGACAGCTGTCAAAAGGCGAGCTGTCAAGAGAAAGCAAATGGGCAACATATCTTTGCTCATGAAACAGGAGTGGTAAGAATTACACCATGTTTGTGGCAAGAGCTTCATCTTCTGCTCTTTTGCCTTACTCTCCTGTGGGCACTGAGCCTTTTGCATTTCCTCCCAAGACTTTGGCTGCTTGGGAAAGTGCTAAAATGCATCCCATCCCCTTTTAAGGGGAAAAGGAGTTTTGAGAGCTAGCTTTGAAAGGGGGGTTACCCACAGCAATGGCTGTTTGCTTGTTTTGGGGTAGAGACAGATTGCTGAATATGCAGCCCCTTCTGTTTGCCATGACTTGTCAGGTTGGCTTGTTGCCTTCAGACAAGCCGCTCTGTGGGAACAATCTACATTCATACAACACTACAATGCACCATGGTTCATGACCTATGATGGATTGTTGTGTTGTGCAAACCCAGGCACAGTTTTCTTGGAGTTTAAGAAAACAGTTTTCTACAGTTTTCTTGAACTGTAATGCTAGATCAAAACGGGGTCCTTTCTGTTTCCAAGAGAGGCTGAGTGGGGCTGTGTGTCTCGGGATATCCTGCCCCTCTGGTTTGAAAGATTCACAGTCCAAACTGGACTGTGGAATTATCTGTGCCAGTGAAATAGCTGCAGTTCATAGATTCTCTGTGCTCGTAAACACTCCAAATGCCATGAAATCTGAAAACCTCAAACATGCATCAGCATTCAGTTGCCTGTGGACTTAAGCAGGCCAGTCGTCTCTTACGCTTGTTGTTCTAACCTCATTCTCTTTGGCTCATTCACATTTTCAGTTTTTTTTCTTAATAGGCAAATATCATGTGCATTGCATTTTAGAACTCAGAATCTGTTCCCCAGCTGATGCTGAGAAATAGATTCCAGTCTACTTGGTACAAAAAAGAGAGTTCTCCCCATTTCCTTTAGCTCTTCAAACAGAAAGGGAGAGGTGGCTAAGTCACTTGTCTCACTGAGCGTAAACAGCCTCCTTTTCTTCATCTTCCATTGTCAGTGCAACCCTGCTGATCCCCTCCCACCCTGTTCTCAATTAGCTGTTCTTTCATACCACCCAGAATTTAATTTGCTGGATCCTAAAGGTCAAAAAGCTAGTGGGACACCCCACCCACTCGCATACAGAAAAGGGTCCATCACCGCTTGAAAAATGAACATCTCACAGTTCGTTTGACCTGAATCTGTGAACTTCCCTGTACAAGCATTTTGGAACCACCAAAAGCATGTACGATCTTTGAACATGTACCTCTTTGAGCTCTTAGCACTGCAGTGTGCACTCCGGGCTGTGCAGGCCCAACCAGCACCACTGCAGCCCGGTTCAGACAAGGACGTGAATGAGTGCAGTTACGGAAAACCAGGGCACAGAGGAGGGAACTGCGATCACGCAAATAAGCCCGCACAGCATTCCAGATCTTCCAGAAATGACTTGGGGTATGACAGCAGGATTAGGCCTTTGCAGCTGATGCAGATGAACTCCAGGGTACTTGAGGACTGCTTTAAATGCCTGTATCTGGACCACCTGATGGTCTGTGTGTGTCTGCATGACACACATGACCTGCACCCCAAGAACAGTTAGATGTTTAGGGGACAGCTTTCACTGGGAGCCATCTTGGGTGTCTGTTCCGCACAAAAAGGCACAAGAATATTAAGTGCGCAATGGATGCGTCTTTCCTTCTGCGCTCTCATCAGCATCTCTGCCCACGTGTCATGGCTTCCTCCACAAAAGAGGGGTGTTGCAGCCAGTCGTGCCGCTTATCTGGTTAGTTCTTATTGGCTCGTCCCGTGTTTTTGCTGGCCATGGCCTGTTACTGTCTTTTCTATTTCCCTTAATGGCATGGCTACATTTATTTCTCAAACGATGGAAGTCAGCCTGGGTGCAGCTTTATTGTTGTTTGTATGCTTTGCTGTGAGCAAGCAGGGTATAAATTTTCCAAACTAAATATTCCTTGCACGGAAGACTGTGCAGCTGCCAGAGATGCGGACGTGTCCCCCGCTTCTTTCCATCGGCTCCTGCATTTCACAAAGCAGTGCTGGGAAGAGGCTGCTGGCCACCCCTTGTTGTCAAAGCAAGGGGTTGCCAAGAGTGGGCTGCTGCTGGCCAGCCGTGCTTCCGGGCACCAAGCGCCACCCTTCCATGGCTTTTATTTCCCTAGCCTTGATGGCACAGGCGAGCCCCTTAGGCAGCCAACTGGATGAGAGCTGGCCTCCAGTCTGAGCCCAAGTCCAACTAAACGTGGCCGCCTTCAAGAGTGGCCACGTTTAGTTCTGCAGCCAGAAAAGCACCAGTGAGGCACCCCTGGCTGCAGAACCCGGGTGCCCAAGGCAGCAGAAGAGCAGTGGCCCAGGCTGCCTCCTCTTGAGTAATGTGCACCGCGTAAAGACGTCACCAGGGTTCTCAGAGATGCTGCTGCAGGAGATGAATTCCCAACCCATCTGCCTGCCAAAACCCCACCATACACTGACCATGCCTGGGCGTTATCTCATATAACCCCAGTCCTCTATCAGCTCCATTGGCTTCCCATCGAAGTCCGGGCTCAATTCAAGGTGCTGGCTATTACCTATAAAGCCCTAAATGGCTTGGGACCAGGATACCTAAGGGAACGCCTTCTTCCCTATTTGCCCTCCCACCCCCTGAGATCGGCAGCAGAAGCCCTCCTCTGGGAGCCCTCTATGAAAGACATTAGGAGACAGAGTACCCGGAGGAAGGCCTTCTCTGCGGTGGCGCCCATCTATGGAATGCGCTCCCCAGAGAGGTCCACCTGGCGCCATCACTGTATGTTTTTCGGTGCCAGGTCAAGATCTTTTTATTCAATCAATATTTTAATATGTATTAATTGGATTTTATTGTTTGTATTTTATTGGATTTTCAGCCAGCGTGGAATAGTTAATTTAGTTAATTTATTTTATTCTGATTAATGTTGTAAGCCGCCCAGAGACAGAAGTAATGGATGGCATACAAATTAAATAAATAAATAATATAATATAGGACATAGGAGGCAGAGGTCATCAGAACTGGGGAATACATTCTTGCTAGGTCACTTGGGCTGCCAGCATGCCAGATGCATAGGGTGGCCATGAGTCCTACCTCAGAGAGGACAGTCCTCTGCTCGTTTGAAGGGCTGTCCAGCCCACAACTTTGCCTACCCACACAACGGCATTCCACCTCCACCTCGCAACACTTTCCCTGAAGAAGTGTGAGTGGAGCTGCACCTATGGTCTTCTTGGTGCCAGTCCCAAACTCTTGCATTCCCGCAGGCCTCTTAGAGTCACTCAGTAAGCATTGCTTTTCATCGCCTCTGTACTGTTTTCCGAAGAGTGTGTTCTTTGTGGCATTGTGTTGTTACAGTGGTTTTTGTTGTTGTTGTTTGTTGTATACTGCCTTTGTATCAGTGAGGTTGAAAGGAGGGCCCTGTGAAATAGTCTTAATACAGAAGTAATTTAAAATGGTGGGATGTATTGTATTTCTCTTTCAATTATAATTACTTCTAAATTTACATATATGCATATAAATCACTATGCACATGTTATTCAAATAGTCATTCACTGTTTTGGTTGTGCAGACAAGAACCTCTAGCATTTGCCAAAATGCCCTCTTCAACTTGCCGGTTGCCAGTTTAAAATACAAAACTGGTGGACCAACTTCCTTCAGAAAAGCTTGCCTACTGTTACTGATTCTCTCCTTAAAGAATTCTGGATTAAATCATTTTTGCAGCCTCAGTTCCCCAGAAGAGAGACTGAAAACCTCTCTACTAACAGAGATAGAATTCAGGTGGTATTGTAGGGGGTGTGGTCCAGCCCAGATGTTGACCTGCTTTCTAATAATTTTAAAAAAACCAAAAAACAATTTCAGATCACGTGGACTCAGAGTTGCTGCAAGAATACAGCCGGTACCTGCCCCGTGACACAGTCATCTTGACAGTAAAACTGGGCATCCTCCTGGCCGTGCTGCTGACGGTACCCCTCATCCATTTTCCTGTAAGTAGCTCAAACCCTTGATGGCGTTTGCGATCCAGGATGTCGTGATGGCCACCCATTTGGTGGGCTTCCTCAGGGGAGGTCAGTCCTGTGGGCACCCGTTGCTGGGGAACTCTGGCGGGAGGCTGCTGTTGAGCGCATGTCCTGCTGCCGGGTTCCGTGTGGGCAGCTGGTGCGTGAACAGAATGCCGGACTGGGCGGACCCTGGCCTCATCCAGCAGAGCCCAGGGTTGCATCTTGTCCGTCGTGCTATGGGACCCCAAGACTTGATCCTGGTGATCAGAAGTGCTCCTGCACAACTGAAAGGAAGGTCAGGGGGCGGGGTTTCCGCTTGTGCTGAGTGGAGTTCAGGCTCGCCATCCGGGTATGCTTCAGGACTCCACCTAGAACCAAGCTGGGAAGCGGGCAAGGATGCATTCCACAGCCAAGATGAGCGCTTCAACAGTTCCCACTCTGGAAGTGTCTCAACCGGCCATGATCACCCTAGTCCCAGTTGCATCCCCTTTGGATGGCCATAACACTCTCCAGGTGAGGCTGCCTTCAGAAACGGTTCGGCAGCTTCAGATAGTCCAGAGTGCTGTGGCCAGATTGCCGGCCGAGGCTCCTCAGAGGGACCATGCAGCTCTCACGCCTTTGCTTGCTACTGGCCTGTTCCGAGACTGCATTCAAAATGCTAGTTATGGCCTGTGAAGCCCTGAAGACCACATTCTGTTCTCCCAGATGGTCCTCTGGAGACTTCCGCAAGCAGGTGCCTTTGGTGGTGATGGACCAGAGGGCCCTTTGCGTGGCCTCGCCCAGTGGTGGAAGCCCCTGGCAAGGGAGGCTTGGTGTACTTCCTCTCTGCTGTCCTTCTTCCAACAAAGAAACAGTGCTTTATTCAATAAGACCTTTGGCCTGTAAGTGGGTCTGTCGGTTTGCATGCTGGTACCCCCATTCCCACCACATTTTATTGTATTTTAACAGGTTTTTACTGCTTTAACGTACTTCAAGTGGTTTTTGCAGACTGCGCTGCATGCCTTATTTTGGCAGGAAGACAGGGTATTAATCAAATTGATAAATAAATATGTACATAAATAAATATAGTGGCAAACATGGCTGGGAGGGTGCGGTTACCCTCATATCCTGCTTGTGGGTTGCCCACGGGCAGTTGGTTGGCCACTGAATGAACAGGATACTGGTCTAGAAGGGCCTTGGTCTGAAACAGCAGGACTCCTCTTATGTTCTTGTGCTGGTCCATCAAAATTAACTCTTAATTATTTGCAGTTCTTCCCATCTAGTCTTGGCTGTCTCTCCGTTTGGCAAGTGGCTCATGTTTGCTTATGTCCACTTAGCAGCTTCAGAGGAATGAGCCATAAACCGCTATGCTAATCTGTGGCTTTCCAAAAAGCAACAGGAGTTTTACATTTGAGCTGACTCACAACATCGATTGCCATCTGCAGAATGTGATATTCCTAAAATTTACTTGATTCCCTTCCCCCGACCCCCCTCATGCTTGGTTTTCAAGCAAGCATATATTTTAACGAGTAAGCAAAAGTCAGCAAAAATGGAGTCTTTGCTATTGATTTCCTGCAAGTTCAGAACGTGTTTTTCTCCCTCTCTCATATTACTGGAACCCAGCATCGTCCGCGAGGACAGACAGAAGGAAGCGCTTCTTCAAATCTGCTTCCAAAAGAGGCAGTGACCGCCCCTACTTTGGACGGCGTTAAAAGGGCCGAGACAAATGCATATGGAGGAGAGGGCGGTCAGTGGCAACTGGCCAAGATGCCTTAAGCTGTCCCATCCCCTAGAACAGCCCTTGGGGCAAATGCGTTCATTGTCATAGAACAGTAGATTTGGAAGGGGGCCGAAGGTCTGTCCGTTCAGCTCAGGACTCCCAGTTAAACCATCCCTCTCACTGAGCTGTCCAGCTGCATCTTGAACGCCTCCAGGGTGGGAGAGCCCACAGCCCTATAGGTCATGGGTTCCATTGTCGCACCGCTCTAACAGTCAGGACATTTCCCCCTGCTATCTAGCCACAATCTGGCTTCCTGTCACTTGAGCCCGTTATTCCATGTCCTGCACTCTGGGATGATCAAGAAGAGATGCTGTCCTTCCTCTTTGTGGCAGCCCTTCAAGAGTGCTATCATATCTCCCCTCCATCTTCTCTTCTTGAGGCGGAACATGCCCTGTTCTTTCGCTCTCCTCACAGGGCTTTGTTTCCAGTCCCCGAATCATCCCTGTTGCCCTCCTCCGAAGCCCTTCCAGCTGGTCTGCTTCTTCCTTAAACTGTGGTGCCCAGAACTAGACACAGGACTCCGGATGAGTCAAGGGGAACTAGCACTTCACTTGATTTGGAAGTGATGCTTCTATTAATTCAACCTACAATCGCGTTTGCCCTTCATGTGCGCGCAAATTGGAGTTTACCGCTGGGTCTGTCCTGGACAAGGAGCTACAGCAGCTCCACGGGTTCCATCCAGTTTAGGTGTGCACTGAAAACTTGCAGTGTCACTTCACTTTCTCGAGAGGCACCAGGCTGACCCTTGATGTGTGTTAACAGCATCTTATTTTATCATTAGCAGTGTACATGGGACATTCCTGTTTGGCTTGGTTTTGCTTTCACACGATGAATGTAACATTTTGCCTTTGTCCATGAATTACAAGGCTGATGTGCTTTCCTGTTTGTCTTTTGACTTCCACAGGCAAGGAAGGCTATAACCATGATTTTCTTTTCACATCTTCCCTTCTCCCTGGTGCGCCACATTCTCATCACGTTGGCACTCAACACAACTGTTGTGTTGCTAGCAATGTATGTGCCTGACATCAGACAGTTTTTTGGAGTAGTAGGTAAGGTCCCCCAGTCCTGTATGTGTCCGACTTGCATCCGCCGCTCTCACTGTAGCAAGCAAAACATTGGCACATCTTTTTCCAGGTTCAACCACATCAACTTGCCTGCTCTTTGTATACCCGGGGCTGTTTTATCTTAAGATCAGCACAGAGGACTTTATATCACGACAGAAGCTTGGGGTAAGATACTACTCTGACTTCTTTTATTGAGATTTCTGCTGCCAGTGTGGGAAGTAGACATTGTTTTAGGAGCCAAAAGCAGATGCTAAAGCTCAAAGGCCTTTTTCATGGCTGCCATCCCAAGAAACTAGTTCTCAAGAAAACTGGGCACCCAGTTTTCTTCTGTGAAGAAAAAAACCAGGGCGGCATCCAGTGACATCATTCTGCAAAGTCATAATGTGCAGAGTGCCACCAGAATCTTTCTGTGGCGGAAGCAGTTGTGACTTGTGCCTACATAAGTGCAAATGGTTGCAGAATGTTGCACAAGTACAATCCACTTGTGCAAATGTCACTTCTGTTGGTTTCTCCTCTGGTACATAGTTTAGAATTCCCTGCTGCAACCCAGAGTCATTTGCGAGAGCTGAACAGCAGGGTTGGATATTGCCCACAGATATCACCGCAAACAGTGGGCATTCCTGAATGCCAAGTGAGGCAGTACGAAAAGGCCGAATGCAAATCCTTATGATGTTGCACGACGCTGCCTTCCGCCACATCCCATCAGCCTGTGACCTCCTACATGCCGGGCGCTCACTTCGCCAGGGAAATCTTGGTGCCTTTCTGAGAACAAGCTGTTGGAACTGTGGCATAAACTTCTCATGTGAAAGGCTCATGAAGCAAACTGACGGCGGGCTTTTCATACGCCAGGCCCCACGTCATTCTTTTTTTGACGAGACCATCGGATTTGGCAAACACCCTTGCCTTGTCAAATACCTGTCCTGAAGGTTACTGTTGCCTCACTCAGCAGAGAAGGCACGTTCTTTGCTGACATCATTTCCTAACCTGTAAATTCAGCTTAGTTGTGTGAGCGGGTGCCTTTTTCGCGAACACATCTGCATGTACTCAGGAACTGCATTTAAACGCAGCCGTTTGCATCTGCCACCCGCTAAGCCAGAGAATGATGGTTTTCTCTCCGGTTTGATTAACAAAAGTGTAAATTAGTTTCTGCTGCTTGGGATTTATCTGCTTGTCTTTCTTTCTTCACAGGCATGTGCGCTGCTAGTTTTTGGCCTCTTGATCGGCCCTCTCAGTTTAGCACTAATCATTTACAATTGGATTCATCCATGAAAGAATTCCTGCCTCGAACTGGGCATGACAACGGCAGCCCCGGTGGAGATCTCCACCAATGTCTTACATAAAATTACCCAGTTAAATACGGAGCTTTGGAAAACCATCACGAACTGTACTGCAATTCAGGTTTCTCTTCACTCGAATAATCCCTGCCATTCTGCAAATTTAGCCTGGAGCTAAAGAAGATTATAGCAACGACTCTGCCCTTGGACTGTCTCTCTGCTTTGGCATCAAGGCACATGCTTCTCTACCCAGCGAGCAGTAACTCCTGAAACTTGAAACACTAGTGACATTGCAGGAAAGCAGCCCTCTTCAGCCTGGTCACCTCCAGACATGTTGACCAACAACAACTAGTCTGTGGTTGTCTGGGGATGCTGGGAGCTGTAGTTCTGTAGTTCTTGAAGGCAGCAGGCTGGGGAAGACCATGCCATGTTCTCTAGGCCCAGCCTTAGGTGCCATCACAAAGCCGAACGAGGTGCCATCACAGCCAAACTGTGCACGAGAGAGTTTGCGGGCTGGTGAAGTACCCAGCTGTGGACAGGTTATGGCTCCGATCCAGCAAGACAGGTGGTCTTCCAAGAAAGCTCTTTTGAAAATGGCTGAAATTGCACCCCAGCTGTTGCTGTCGGTTTCGCAGAAACTGTTTGCAAAGCTCCTCCCACTGCCTTATCCCCAGCATGCTGGGCCTAAACACGCTGGCCCAGCCTCGGTTGGATTACAGTCCCTCATGCAAGACAATTTACCGTTGAGCGGAGAAGTAAAAAAGGGCACGGGTTTACCTTGCCTGCCCATCGTCCTGACTTTGCAGCATATTGACCGTGCAATATGTATAGTTTTTATAATAAGATCATGGGGTGGATGCAAAATAAAACTCTCTTCCGTTGAGGTATGTTGTGCGTGGTGAAACCTCCATCGTGAGAGCCTTCCTCAGTGTCAGCACTGGCCTGATTCAAGCAACGCTGCTTGACAGCTCCTTGGCGAGGCTGCATCCCCACCTCCGAAATGCTGCATCGCCATATACGGGGGAGAAGACAATGCTTTGATGGCAGCCCCTCTTCTCCTGTATGAACATCTTGCACATCAAGGAGCCTGTTTAGACTAGAAGCTTTCTCCACATGTGAGCAGGACCCTTACATGTGCGGGTGCTTTTTAAACAAGAACTCTTCATGGTGGTTTGGGTTTAGTACCCTAAATCAGCTGACTTTAGTTTGGGATGGTATCAGATTTCTTAGATCAGAGTTTACTGTCTCACATGCAAAATGGAGAGTGTACCACTTTAAGGACCTTCAGGTTGGATCTGGTCCAGACTTGCCTTCACTGGACTCTTTTACTATTATTACATTGCATTTATATCCCGCCCTTTTTCCTCTTGTTAGGAATAGTAGAGTTTGACGGGGCCATGAAGGCCATTGGGTCCAACCCCCCGCTGTTGCAGGACACCAGTTGCCACCACCACCCAAGGTGGCTTAAATAGCCCCTTTTTATATCCTCACAACAACCCTGTGAGGTAGGTTGGGCTGAGAGTCCGACTAGCCACGACTCAGCCAGCGAGCTTCATGGCCAAATGCTAACCGGAACCCAGACCGTGCAGGCCCCCAGTCCACTGCTCTAGCAACCACACCACCCTGGCTCTAGAATGCTACGTGACCGAAGCGGGATAGCCCAGGGTGGGACGTGTACTGTAATTCACCAGCTTTAAAATTCGGAGTAGAAAAAGCTGGGCTAAGGGAAAGTCCAGTTGCACTGGAGAAAACAGCAAGGTGAAGCTGAGAGAACTGAAGGAAAGTCTGGATTAGAATGGAGGGATGCTGATTGTCTTCAATTTCAACAGCAAGGCTACGGAGATGTTTTTATTTCTCTTTGCACCAAGGCTTTTCAAGTTTGAACCTGACTGTTAAAAAAGCAAACTTCTTAAATAGCAAAAGCTGAAGCCACCAAGGAAGAAAAATGTAGCCCTGAAAGTAAAGAGGACTCCTTCTGCAGCGAGCGCGCTCCAGAAATACTTGGGAGAATTATTTACATGGTTAAGGTGGGGTGAGCAGACTCAAACTTGGAGAAGCTACGCTGTTTTCCTCTAGCGACTAGAAGCCCAGCACTTGGAGCAAAGTATGGCTCGAGAAGGTGGACTGCAGAATAGGATGCCTTTGCCTAGGATTTTTTACCCAGAAGTAGAACCGGAGCCTGCCCACAAACGCATTCCTTTCGCCCTTCTGCACGAGTTCTTGATTTAACTGTCTAATTTAGAGGGGAATTCCTTTTTCTTACTACCTTTGTTGATCTGGTGCAAATCACCCAAAGAGCTACCAAGAGATCCCAGTCCATCTTCTGCCTGCCTCTCCATTAGGGCGTTCAGCATCACAGCCACCTTTACAGCAATCCTATAAGCTCAACCAGAAGGTGCAAGGCACCAACCCCTGCAGGCTGTGCCTCCTGTTGAGCAGGTCATGTTCAAACAGTAGAATCTCCGCCTTGAAACACACTGTCCAGGAAAGTTCCTAGGAGCAGGAAAGCCTCAATGCTCATCTCTTTGGCTTCTTTGTATGATTAAGATGCTGTGCAAGTTTAGACAGAAAACAAGGCCCACAACTTGCCCCTTAGCTGGTGGAGGCATGCTGGGAATTGTAGGCCCCTTTTCTGTCAAAGCTTGCATCCAACTGCACCCTCAGTTCACATCAGAAATGTTGTAGACACCAATTCTATTGTGGTTCTGCCAAAAAGGCCTTCAGGTTTTGCTTTGAACACTTCTGGGCAAACCCCATATTATTCATGGCGTGGAAACAACAGAAATATTGCTACACAAAGTTTTGTTTTCTCAAAATCGACCCAAGGGATGGCTTATAGCTAAATGGAGAAGGCCTTTCATCTCTCTTGTAAATTTTATCCTCAAAGGAAGCAAGCTTCTCTAGAAAATAAGAGCTTAACATGAAATTATGAAATTAAACCTTATAGTGGAATGGCAAGAATTCAGAGCGGAGAGTTCCTCATTATTTCCAGATGGGTGGCTCAAGCTTAAGCTTGGCTGGAAGCTTACAAAAGCAGCACCTTTTGAGTGTCCCCGCGTTGTGTGCCCGCAATTCCTGCCAAAAGCACAAACCCCTGCCTGTCCCTCCACATTCTGTGGGGACACTTTTCTTTAAATGCTTGGACTGCCCATAAGCCAGCCATGGCCTAAAATAAACAAGATCAGTCTCAAACTGCCTTTTGGACCCCCCTGCTCCCCGCACAGCCACCTCCACCCGGCCTGGCCCAAGTCCTGTTGAATGTTTCCGTGATCCTTTAACGATTTTTCCTTTTCCTCCCCTGCTCTCTGCTTTTTGCTCGTGTGGCCTGCTTTACAGAAATCAGTCCTCTCTTTGGATGCCCAGGGACAGCCCACCCTGCTGAGGCACTGGCCTCTTGAAGCCCAGCTTGAGACAAGTTCACCTGCGGGAGCCCTGCAGGGCCCTTGGAAATCCTCATACCTGGACACAGGTGAGGCAGTTGCAGCCCTGATGAGAAGCACTTTATTGCAGTTTAAATTACAGCAATTATTTCTGAATTTGCATATGTTCATGCATAAGAGCATATACAAATCTCTGTCCAGTTTTGGCCCCCTTTTAATGATGTGCTTCCTTTCGGGGGTGGTACCTGCACGGACACCTTACTGGCCTGCCCTCTTCCTGCCACGCTGCCCTTGGGCTTCTTCCCTTGTGCCCCCCAAGCCCCCCCTGGGGAGGGGCTACAGCTGCCGCTGGACCCCTGTCAGGAAAAAAGGGGGCATCTTGGCTTCCTTCACAGCTGCACCGAGTGTCCGTAATTCCATGGCCTCCTCACGAACCATCAGGGGTGCCGGCATCCCTCTTTTTCGATTTGCTTCGATTTTTGACTTGGCGATAACCGTCTTGCTCCTCCAGGAAAGGACTGTGGCCCAGTGGGTGGAATGCACGCTTTGTGGGGAGGGCAGGAAAAGCTGCCTGCGGCTCCGGAAAGCTGCAGCTGCCGGTCCGTGTCGGCAACGCTGGTCTGATTCAGCCAAAGGTAGCCTGCTGTATACCGGCGTTCTACCACCCTCTGTGTAGGTTTCTCTGCTGAGCCCACCCCACCCCACCCCACCCCCATTTCACAGGCTGAGCCCCTCCACTTCTGAACTTCCCCAGCTCCCAGGTGAAAAAGAGAAAGCAGTTTAGTTCCTGCATCTCTTCCCCCACTCAAAGCGCCATCTTTCACCCCATTTTATTTATTTATTTATTTATTTATTTATTTATTTATTTATTTATTTATTTATGGTCCACAAAAGTGTTTACCACAATGAGCATATTAATCTTTGCTGTAATGCCAGATTTGGCAGTGCTTCCTATATTTAGGAAAAGGTCAGCATTAGGCAAGAGACTGAAGCTTTCTTGAAAGAATATGCTAAAGTGGTGGGGGCACAGCCTCTTTTAGGAAATTTAAACCCTTGGAAGATTTATGTTCAGTGGCATCAATGAAAAGAAGCACTTTGCAGTATAAATTTAGGTGAACCATCATACCCTTTCCCTACTTTGAGGGAGATGCTGAGGGGTTGGTTTTTTGTTTTTAACCCAAATCTGGTTATTTACTAGCACTAAAATGTCATGCACATTTAGTGGCAATTCACCAAAGATAATTCAGCAGTTCTGAAATTTTGGAGGGGAGAGTTGGCATTTTACACCCCTTCCTTCTCAATCATTCTATTTAATTTCATAATCTTTGCTTGCCTACAAGTTGCCTAAAATCAGCTAATGCATGCAAAAGCAACTCCAGTTTTTGAAGTGTTCAATCCTATTCATGTCTACTCTGAAGGCAGGCCAACCGCATACACTGGACTCGCTCCCTGGTCATTGGGTACAGAATTCCAGCTGAAAGGAAGGTGCTCCATGTGTGTCCAACGAATTCAGATCAGTACATACGCTAGAGGTCTTGCATATTAAACCAAAGCTATTGAATCCTAATCTTGCTGTCCAGCTCTGGGAACATCCAAATGGCAGTGCCCCTTTCTCCCAACCAGCACTCCTTGGGCGCTTTCCTGGTCTTTGTACAGTTTTCCCCATTCCGAAAACTCCAAATGCTTCTCCTAAGGCCGCGTTAGTGGCAGGAAGACTGTTAAGTTAAAATATTCCAATACTTATTATTCATTTAATTTCTATACCTCCTCCTGTAGCTGACGCTATTTACAATAAAGCGGTTTACAATAAAGTTTAAAAACGAAATACAATAGATAAAATATGAACAATTAAAATTAATTTAAAAGAGCATTAAAAGACAATAAAAATGACCCGGCTAAGAATAAAAGAAAGGCACTTGGCTAATTGTGTCAGGCCCTTGAATAACCAGGGTGGTCTTTAAAGGCTGTCTGAACCTGTGGTGAAAAGATGGCGAATTTGGTGCCAGGTGCAGCAGGGAGGCTGTTCCAAAGTTGGGGGGCCATCACAGAAGAGGCCCTACCCCTAGTTGCCACCCTCCGAAACTCTCAAGGGGTTGGTGCCCGAAGGAGGGCCCCAGAGGCTGAACACAGCGTCTGGGTAGATTGAGGTGGGGAATGCGCAGGGAATTTCCAAAACAGAATTGGGCCCATTGGCAGGAGGAGGTTCCGCATCCCTGATCTCAAGCCTTGTGCATGTTTGACTTGATCCAGGTTGCTCATGGGCTTGAACATGCCAAGAGTGTGGCCCTGTGCGTGCTTATGGGTGAGTCTGCCCCTTTAAGCATGCTTCCCCTATTGAGAAATCTGCCTTAGGACTTCCGGAAGGCCGTCAGTTAAGCCGTCAGCAGAGGTTCACTGTATTCATCTCTGTATTCATTCAAATTGGCTTCTGTGAGAAATATTCCAAGTCCAATTACCTATTACATTATATATTGACTATATGCAAGTAGAAAATAAATAGGCAGAAG